CAACCATAACTGGAGCAAATCCATAGGCTGCGAAGTTCCCAATTTCTCCAATTCCCATAAATACAATTCCACACCACCAGAGTTTGCTTCTGTAACAAGGTTTCTGAATGACTTGTTGGGTCAACCGAAGATGAGAATATTTCTGAAAGTGAGATATGAGAATGAAAGATATGGATTAATAGATTAATGGTAAGTGAGCATTAATATGGTACTACAAATACTGCGGCTATTATATGAATCTTTGATCCCTAAATAAGAATTTATAGAACAAAAACACCAGGAATCAAAAGGTAGTATTCTGTGTCGGAAGTTTGTAATGCTTGGGTATTTGGGACTTTCAAGCAAAAATATTTCAGAAACTTTGAATATTTAAAGGGGTCTCACATCAATGCCAAGGTAAGTTTTTTAAGAAATCAGAAAGGAAGTTTCAGTAGTATGTTTGTTGCTTGAATAAGAAAAACATGGAATGGCTGGAGAATATAAATAAAAGGATTTATCAAAAAATTAAAGGGAATATTGGTTGTGTATGCCCATGAATATCAATTGAGAAAGGATCTTGACCCAGTAGAAATTTCCATTATCAACAACAGAGCTGTTTGCCTTTTCTCTTTCTCGCCCAAAGCCACTTCTAGGTTTTCAACTTTTTTGTAAGACATTTCATTTGTATCTTGAAGTTGGCAATCAATTGCCAATCAATTGGCATCATGGGGGAAACAAAAAGTATAATTGAGACCTTTTAGAAGGATTGACTACCTTTCATTGATTCTCAAAATACAAATAATTGAGATTTGCTTTAACGTAAGAGTTGTTCCTATGATTTATTTCTTTAAATTTATGAATGTATAACTTCCCACTCCAAAATACAGGTGTAACTTTATAAAACACAGACATTAATTCCAAAAGATACATATAGCAGTGTTCTAATACATGGTTTTAATTTTATTACAAATGATTTTTATAAGCACTTCTTATTCTTATGGTTATAGTTCTACATTAAGATTTTTTTGCCCATGTATTGCCCACATATGTTTTGCATTGCACTTATGCATATTTACATAAATCAGAAAGAAGTATGGGCCATGTTTTACAAATTTATAAATAATATATGAATACATACTGTAACCACATTGCAATGATAATGTAGCTCAATACTACTTTATCTCAGAGCAACATTAACTAATACTAGACTTAATCAATCTTAGTGAAATCAGTTACATTTAAGGCAGTGGTGGAATTCAAATTTTTCTACTACGGGTTCTGTGGGTGTGGCTTGGTGGGTGTGGCAGGAGAAGGATACTACAAAATCCCCATTCCCTCCCCATTCCTGGGGGAAGGATATTGCAACATCTCCATTCCCACCCCACTCTGGGGCCAGTCAGAGGTGGTATTTGCTGGTTCTCCAAAGTACTCAAAATTTCCGCTACCGATTCTCCAGAACCTGTCAGAACCTGCTGAATAGCACCCTGATTTAACGTGTCATACCAACTTTATCTATTATTTTAAAAAGCCTGCTTTAAGTGTGACTAAATTCCAATTTCATCTAAGCCTAAGGCCTCCCTCACAGTCTATATACATAGTTCCACAGCTTGCAATACAATGAAGTTTTTCATACCTGCAGATTCAAGGAGATGCTGATAAAAATGTTTCCTGAGATTGCCAGTAAGATGCCAAAGAGCAAAGACTGAAAAATATACATATAATTAGTCAGTCAGATAAAATCCTCAAAATTTCCAGCATCTATTCTATTCCTATACAGGTAGTCCTCCATTTACAACAGTTCATTTCGTGACTGTTCAAACTTACAATGGCACTGAAAAAAGTGACTTATGACCATTTTTCACACTTATGACCATTGCAGCATCCCTATAGTCATGTGATTTACATTCAGATGCTTGACAACTGACTTACATTTATGACAGTTGCAGTGTCCTGGAGTCATGTGATCTTCTTTGGAGGTGTTCTGCCCCAGCTACGGACCCCAAAGAACACAGCACACACAAAGTCTGTACCAAACTTAAATTTACTTAAATAACTCAGTCTCTTCCAAACAAAGGCTGTTAATAAACTTTAACAGCCTATAAGAAACCAAAAGATAGAGTAATCACAATCTTACTAAGGTTGGCAGAAAGCCCAGAAGCAATTTGCAGAGAATCCAGACCCGAAGGAGAATGAACTAAAGTTGTTCCCTACATATTGCTTCAGTTGGCGTTCCTCCTTAAATAGGCTAAGGGAGTGGTCAATTAGCCCCAAGCCTTACTCTTGAGGAGACCTCCTCCTGAGGAGCCACTCCTGCCTTTTGGCAGCTCTGTGAGCCCATGCATTGAGAAGAGGCTCCTCTTCTTCATCCTCTTCACTTGAAGGAGCTTCTGGAGGTTCTGAAGGCCCTGGCTGAATCCCTGCCTCTGGCACCACATCTTCTCCAGCCTCCTCATTGTCTGACTCGGGTGCCAGCTGCACAGACTGCTGGCGCAACACCACAGCAACCTCCTTGCTGTCAGAATCAGCTACAATCCGCACAGGCCGCTGTCGGGCCACAACAGGCTGCCTTCTGACAAGCAAAGGCAGTGGGGAAAACAGATTCACTCAACAACTGTGTTACTAACTTCAGAACTGCAATGATTCACTTAACAAATGTGGCAAGAAAAGTCATAAAATGGGGCACACCCACTTAACAAATTTCTCACTTAACATAAATTTTGGGCTCAATTGTGGTTGTAAGCTGAGGACTACCTGCACTTCTATTCTTTTGTAAAATCATTTACAATTTTAAAATTGTAAATGATTTTAAAATTTTAAAATTGTAAATGATTTTAAAATTTTTAAAAGATTTTTAAATCTTTCTTAGGTCACGTTATTCTATAAATTGGCTTGGGAAGACTCACAAGTGACTTTAAGTTTTAAACATACTCTGGGTTGGTACTAAAATATCCAGTGCTCTTAAGACTACACGTGTGTGTGTGTGTGTGTGTGTGTGTGTGTGTGTGTGTGTATCTGTCTGCCTATCTGTCATATCAGAAAGCTTTATCTGTCCCTAAAAAGGACAGAACTTGGGTATGGAATATAATTCCAAATAATTATTCCAAGAACTGCGTTTACTCTCTGGAATAAAGTGTCAGAAGGCACATGCCAGTAAGGAAAGGATGTTTCCTGACTTGTACATACTCATTTGGATAAAAATCAAATCGCAACTGACTGAAAATCAGGCTGCAGCTATTGAAAAATCTTATAGCCTGAAACTATGGTTGAATAAAAAGGGAAAGAGGTAAACAGGTAAAAATGGTTAATATGCAGTATAGATTGTTTTGTTTTTTTTAAATGTGCCTTAAGGCAGGGGCCTCCAACCCTCAATCCATGGACCGGCACCAGTCCGCAGTATGTCAGCAACTGGGCTGCGCAAACAAGTAAAGCCCCATCTTCAGGATGCAGGCAGCACAGAAAACTATGCCTCCTCCGGTCCATGGCAAAATCTTTCTCTGTGGTGCCTGGTGCCCAAAAGGCTGGAGCCACTGCCTTAAGTCTTCAGAAGACCAAGCAGAAACATTCAAAGTTACATTATTGTAGATTAAACTTCTGTAAATAGTTTTTAAAAAACTGCTTAACCTCTTCTGAAATAACCCTGAATTTTCAAAAGAGAAAAGTTGGCTTTTATTTCCATGATGCAAAACAGGAGTATGAATTGGACAATGAATATGAACCAATTTTTTAACAGCACAAAAAATACTGAATGACTGAATCTCATCTCAATAGATGCAGTAACAACAAACCCACCTCCCTCCATTCCCCACTTGAAGATAATCATTACAACAGAACATAACAAAAGTAATTTTTAAAACCAGGCTTAAACTGGAATGTTAAAACAATAAACAACAGGAGGTTACCACTCAGTTCCCTAAAAGGTCTTTTCCAACTCTATGGAAGACTATATTTTGCTATGGAAGACATTTGGCAAATTTAAGCCCAGTTATAGTAGGAAAGCATTAAAGATCTGCCTTATCCCTCATTAAAATGACAGTTGGTCATTAACACCAAAGCTCATACTAAAAAATAAATTTTAAAACCATGCTTAAACTGGAATGTTAAAACAATAAACAACAGATAGATTTTCCCTACGATAATTTACCCAGTCCTCGATTAAAAATGGACATTCTCCAGTTCAGGAGCTCCCAAAAGAACTCCTCCCTGTTTACCTTTAAGATTTTCCGCAAATTTGGATTAAAAAGCATGTTGGTAAATTGTCATTTTATGTATCATTTTAATTTTTTTATTGATGTAACGCATGTTGTCTTTTTCTACAAACAGTGATGCTTAATCCTCAATAGACATGCTTAACAAACAGCAGCAAACTCCTTTCGGTTCCTTTAATTATAATGGTGCCTGGATTCAAATTCGAAATAAGAACTCAGACATGTTCAAAATATGGGATGGGGAGGTGGAGCGAAGAACAGGATCTGATTGGTAAAGTATACTGTGTTTATTTGAGCACCTAGCAATGGTCCTAAATCACAGGAGGAGAAATGTGAACTGGGCACTGAAGAGAGACACAGCACAGTGTAAAGTTACCCCATTTTAATCCCCAGTCTAAGATCCCTGCACTGCAGCAATGAGTTATTTAGACTCAGAAATGGAGAATCCTTCAAAGGGAGCAGATTCTTGGTGCCCACATCCATGCAGTTTCCAGCAGCTTTACAGCTTGTCCTGATTTTCTGTTCCAAGCGGAGCCCATCTGGGTTAGAGACTGTCCTCTGTCCGAGGCTATTCTCACCTTACTTGAAGAAAGGCTTTAATGGCTCTTACTTCAGAGTAGATCTCTAAGCCAATATTTCTCAAACTCGGCTACTTTAAGACGGGTGACTTCAAATCCCAGAATTCTTCAGCCAGCAGGATTCCCCAGTATGCTGCCTGGGGAATTCTGGGAGTTGAAGTCCACCCGTCTGAAAGTTGCTGAAGTTGAGAAACGCTGCTCTAAACTAGCCCCTGAGAGAGGGCGAGAGGAAGCCCTCCATACCAGCCTCTCTTCTCCTTACCTGTTCGTTTTCAAAATACCAGCCTTGGGAAAGAAACTCACGCCTGCTCGCCCTCCCTCCCAGAGTGGTGTTTTGGAGAAAGTGAGACGACCCCATAGTCTCTACTTCGCCCCCGCTTCTCCGGCGCTCTTCAGCTGCATGGACGCCCCAAGCGACGCTGGGAGCCGAAGAAACCGGTTTTTAAGCCCAGGTGAACTTCCTGGGGCCGGAGCGCTGGGCGATGGGAAGGGCTCTTGCCTTCGTGGGCCGGATGTTTTCACAGCAGGTGTTTGTACGTGGGGTGGGGTTGACCCAAAAGAGAATCGGGGACTGGAAAGGGAGTGAATCGGGAAGAAGGCAGAATGCCAGCAAAGCGAGACGAGACGCTTTGCTGCAGCAGAAAATGTTTGTTTTGGCAGGTGAAGTTTACTAATCTTTGAATAGCTACATAGGATAAGCCTCTTTGACTTGTAGGTAGATACAGATACAGATTAACAGGGTTGGAAGGGATCTTGTAGGTCATCTAGTCCAACCCCCCCAGCAGACCCCACCTACACCATTTTTGATAGATGACAGTCCAGTCTCTTCTTGAAAACTTCTAGCTGTCCATTGGTTGATTGTTCTCACTGTCAGAAAACTACTCTTTATTTCCAGGTTGAATCTCTCCTTGTTCAGTTTCCATCCATTATTCCTTGTCTGGCCTTCAGGTGCCTTGGAAAATAGCTTGACTCCCCTCCTCTGTGGCAGCCCCTCAAATATTGGAACACTGCTCTCATGTCTCCCCTGGTCCTTCTCTTCACTAGACTAGCCATGCCCAGTTCCTTTATGTTTTAGCCTCCAGTCCCCAAATCATCTTGGTTGCTCTTCTCGCACTGTTTCCAGAGTCTCAACATCTTTTTTATAGTGTGGTGACCAAAACTGGATGCAGGTGTGGTCTTACTAAGGTTTTATAGAGTGGTATTAGTACCTCACTTGATCTTGTCCTGCAAGTCTCTCCTAAAAAGATTCACGCTAGAAAGATCTTAACTATAACCCTTTCCTGTTTTGGCTACTGTTGAAAGCAAGCTGCTGAGGGAATGGAGTGGTTCATTTCAGATAGCTGTAGCGTGGTGGTCCCAAGGGGTTATAATATATACTTTCCTGCCAGAGCCCTTTAAAAGTGGAGCAATGCTGCAAATACAAGTTGGAAAAATGGAGACACCTTCTGGTACAAATTAGTTCAGCATATGTGCCTCTGGGAGTTGAAATCCATGCATCTTAAAATTGCTGAGATTAGGAAATGTCTGTTCTGACCTGTGACTGACATACTGCAAGTGCAGCTTTATCTGTTCTGCTCTTCCATCTGACCTTCCCATGGTATGGCACCATGTGTTGGAGTGAGTTGGGAGATTTGTCAACACATGATGTGTTTGTGGGCATGGAGTGGTAAAGCAAGTGTGATGCTTCTGCATTGCAGTGATTTACATCTTATATGGGATCTATATATGGGACTGTCACTGACCACTTCCTTCAGCACCCTAACACTGCCTCAGCACTCATTCAGAATTTGCCAGTGGTCAGATAGGCTGTGGAATTGCCTGCCCCAGTTTCTTACTCCTCCCTTTGGGGAACTTTTGGGTGGACTGTATATTGGGGTCATATAAGAACTTCACATTCCTCTTAACATTACAATTCATTCATTTCAGCAGTGCTGATCATTCCTATTTAGTATACTATGTTGAACAGAGTTATAGAAGCTTGGGTGAGTTTATTTATTTATTTATTAATCATATTTCTATGCCGTCCACTCTCCGAGGACTCTGGGCGGCTTACACCAAAGACAGTATACTAAATAGCATATTGCCCCCAACAATCCGGGTCCTCATTTTACCCACCTTGGAAGGCTGAGTTAGCCTTGAGCCGGTGAGATTTGATCCGCTGATCTGCTGAATTAGCAGTCAGCTGAAGTTGTTCAAACCCAGTGCACAATTCACAACACTACAATTAAATTGGGTCTTGGTGTCATCCAATCCAAGAAGACGTGATACAATAGGAATCCCTGAATGGCTACATATGGAATTTTTTCAGACAACATTTTTTCAGAATTTGGTCAAGGAGCATAGGAGCAGATGCTTAATAAATAGCTGTGGGCCTGCAGAATGGTAGTTCTGTCATTAGGAAATTAGCTATAATTGGGGAACAAAGATTAGAGGGAGAAAAATGCCAGTAACATTTAGAAAAGAATGCCATTTCTTTGAGCCTTGAGGTGTTTTAATACTGCCCATATCCCATGGCTACAAAGCAGCTGCCCTTTGCTTACATTGGGGCACAGGGAGACCATATTGTCAGGCAAAACTCTTTGATTGAATAATGAGATTGGCAGCCAATCTTTGCTCTCCTCCAGGCTTGGTTATTATTACTGGGCAAGAGTCCCAGAAACACAAGCCATCCAGCCATAATAATAGCGGCAGTCTCTTTTAATGCATTTCAGCTCATTGACTGTGAGAAAAAACTCATGGCTCCTTTGGCAGGAAGCACTTGTATTACTGCTGAGAAATATTTATAACCATAATTAGAAGGGGAAGTATGAGGAAAGAGAGCAAATGCAAGGAAATGCATCGATGTGGTGTGATTTAAGCAGTTGAGCTACGCACGGGATAGCAAGGGTTTTCTCCATGAATACCTGAATGCATGTAATAAATGCAAAAAAAAAAATTGTGATGGCTGGAGAGTAGAATGGGAACTGGAGTAAATTTAAAAAAGAAAGTTGAAATACCTGTTTGGTTAGATTCTTCATGGTTCATATTGTATTACTGCTGCAGAGGTTACAAATAGGAAATATAGGAAAACTCCGCATACAAATATTGTAGCTATTTGCTGTCTAAACTGTGTAAATCTGTGTCAAATTGCAAACCAGTGGAGACAGCCTCATTTGTAAATGGAATCTATTTTGCATTACCTTACAAAAAGGTTTACAATCGATAAATGAGACGAGACAGCAAAAATCCACAATAGTATCACAACAGCCATCTCTTTCCATGTTTGTTTTCTGCATTTGTCCAACATATTTGAAACACATTCTCTTCATGTCTTGAATGATGAAGCTATTGTGACAGAGATTAGGGTTGGTAATAAAATGAGGAAATTATAGATTTTTCACATTCTGAATAATGCAAAACAATAAAACATCAAGTGATTAAACCTGTAATCCGGTATATATTTATCTGGGAGACATCCCCATCAAATTCATTGGGGTACAATTATATATTTTATTTATTCTTTTTATGAATAACTCAAGTCAGTGAACGTACCTAATACTCCTTCCTCCTCCTATTTTCCCCCCACCAACAACTATGGGTTGAGTTGGGCTGAGAGACAGTGACCGGTCCAAAGTCACACAGCCGACTTTCAGGCCTAAGGCGGGAATAAAACTCACAGTTTCTAGCCTGGTGCTTTAATCACTAGACCAAGCTGGCTCTAAAATAAAACATAAAATTCTCAGTTCTGTGTAGAGTTGCATGGAGGTAACCTCCCACTGAACTGTGCCCCCCACCCCCCGGAATAGGCATGCAATCACTTTTTTCAAATGTGTATGTTACCTGTGGAGCTGAACAGTTATTATGTGGGTTCCTATTCCTATAGTATACTACAGCATCCAAAGTATACACCATGCATACTTCTTCACTTAAGAGCTCGCCAAACATAGCTATGTAAAGTGAGCAGCTTGTTTACAATAAACCACTATACTAGTAGGGACTCCATGCTATCAAATTAGAGAGAAATCAGTATTATAGTAAACAGAGGTCAAAGATCAAACCCACAATTTCATATAAAATTCCAGTCCATGTACACAAAATATTACAATTTTTAAAAGGTCCAAGTCACAAGACCATCAACTATTCTTAAAGATAATCAAAAGCAGGATGGAGTAAAGGAAGTGAAATTTAAATGTAATTTTAATCCAGAATTTAATGCAAGGAACAATCATATAATGGACCTCTTTCAGACCTTGACAGCTGACTGTCAAACAAGCTCTTTTGTTAAACGGCTAACTCTTTTCTTATTCAAACAATGTCTTTAAAATGTCAGTTGTGATAATATTAACATAACCCCAAACTTTTGATCTCCTTATCTGGTGATGTGAGATTGGGTTCTTGTTTGTTTGTTTGTGTATGTATATATATGTGTGTGTGGGGAGAGCTACCAATTACATATAAGCTGTAATATTCTGTTTGGTCTTTTTCATCTATGAAAAATCAAGGGCTAATTGAGCTGTAACTGCAAAGCCACTGTCATTTTGCTTGGCTATGCTGTATGTCATACTGCAAGTAAAGGAATATAAATTATGATTCTTATGTACTGAACATGTCTTTGAACACCGAAACTAGATGTCAGAGAAAAGATTAGGCTTAAAGGAAGATTTTTCATATTGACTTCTCTACATGGTAGACATGTTTATTAATAAACAAATTCTGGGGCTTTGATCTGATCTGAAATTATGCCAGTCCTAAATTCTGTCTTTACATAATGTATAGCATTATGATACGGCTGGCACAAATTACATAATTCATGCCATTTGCTTGATGATGTCATGACACATAGGACAACATTGTAATTTCTTCTGTTTGCCTCTTTGTTCACATATAACATGAAGCCTTAATGTGTGGTTTCTTTGTACTGGACTTAGCATTACATTCAAATTCATATGGTTTAAGGTTATTGGTCCACTAGGCAATATTGATTTGCTTGACAAAGTGATTAAAAACCTGGAATAGCATTGTGTATTAATGGAGTCACTGGTTCCTGAATTATGTTAAGATATCTGTTTAATAATCATCCATGGCAGAGAAGAGATTTGAAACATTTAATACAATTTGGTGCAATTTTATTCTCTTTACTCTGATTCATTTTAAACAAGCACTATCTCTTAAATCATGAAATATTCAAAAAAAAATCCATTGGAGCAGACCTACCTGATCTGTTTTGTATTTTATATCTTATTATTGGTCACGTGTGTATGGGATCCAGGACTATTCATGCAATCCTAAATTGTAGAATCACATAATATAAACATGGTAAGGGGCCTGGAAGATACCTAGTTCATCTTTCTGCCCAGAGTGGGATCCCACTATTTACAGCATCCAAGAGATTGTTTAAATCCCTTCAGTGAGGGAGATTCATCATTTCCTGAGGCAGGCTGATTCCTTATTGAAGTAGAACAGGGGTCTGCAA